CTGAAGTCTACTTTGTCTGATATTAGTACAGCCACTCCAGCTTTCTTACAATTAGTATTTACATATTTATCATTCTTCATCCTTTTACTTTTAACCTGAGATTTTATATTTAAAATGGATTTCTTATTCACACTGTATAATTGAGTCTTGCTTTTACCCAGACTGATAATCTCTGCCTTTCAATTGAAATTTTTGTGTCATTTTCACTTAGTGTAATTTTTCCTGTGGTTAGGTTTAAGTCTATCATCTTGCTATTTGTTTTCTGTTTGTGCCATATATTCTATGTTCTGTTTTTCCTTAGTTTCCTGGCTTTCTTTAGATTATTTTTTGTATTCCTTTTATTCATCATTTATTTATTATTTATTACTTTGTATTCCATTTTATTTATTTATATTTCTTGATAAATATATATATTAAATATATATTCACCTAATTACAGAGCTTCAGAATACATGAAGTAAAACTAATAGAACTCACCAGAGAAATAAACAAATTATAGCTGGAGATTTCAGTATTCCTCTTTGAGTAATTGATAGCATGATAGATAGAAAATCAGTAGGATACGAAACAGGGGTTAGCAAACCCTGGCATCCGGGATCCATATCATTGCCCATTTTTGTATTGCCCGTGAGCTAAGACTGATTTTTACCTTTTAAGTGGTGAAAAACTTTACAGAGAACATTTTGTGATATGTGAAACTTATGAAATTCAATTTTCAGTGTCCACACATAAAATTTTGTTTTGAACACAATCATGCTTATTCATATACATGTTACCTACGGCTGCTTTCATGTTACAACTGCAGAGATGAATAGTTGGTGACAACCTGTATGGCCCACAAAGTCTGAAATATTTATGTGAACATGGAGAAGAAGTTTGCAGATCCCCTAATATAGAAGTGTTCAACACTGTCAACCAGCTTGACATAACTGACATATGGAATAGTCTCCCCAGCACCATCAGAATACATATTCTTTTCAAGTTCACGTGAAATAATCACCAAGGTAGGCTATATACTGAGTCTTTAAACAAGTCTCAGTAAATATGAATGCATTAAAATTATATAGAAATGGAATATATGGGAAAAAATATGGAATTATATTAGAAATTTTTAAAAACCATGATCTTTAAATAGTTGGGAAAAAATCTCCAGTAGTTTAGAAGAAAAAAGTGACACTTAATCCAGGGGTCAAATAAGAAGTCACAAGGGAAATTAGAAAATATTTTGAAGTGAACACTGCTCTGTTTATGTTCTGAGATATATTTATAATTTTAATACACAATTAAATGAATGATGAACACTGTTCAAAATATTAAAAAAAATTTAAGTCCAGGTTCAATGTTTTTTGTGGTCGTAGGTATATACACTTGCTAAAAGTTGTCAAACTCAATGAATATATGTATGTTCATGTATAACTGAAAAATTGTGCTCCACACTGGAATTTGACGCAACATTGTAAAATGACTATAACTTTTAAAAAAAGTCAAGAAAAAAGTTGTCAAACTCTGCATTTAAAATATAGGAGGATTTTATTATATCTAAAATATACCCTGATAAAGTTAAAATTTTAAAAAGGTTATATTTCTAGGATAGTTTTCCTGGTAGATCCCTTTAGTTTTGAGATGAAAATATATGAATTTTTTAAAAAGCCTCTTCTACTTATATGTTTGGAACTTGATTAATATGTGGTAGGCATTCAGGAGTTTTCACTTTATTCAAAAAATACAAGATTTACGCAAGCTAGGTATTCTGAATGCTTATTTTCATGATAAAAATTTTGGAAAGTCTGTATCTTTTGTACAGAGAATACTTTGTCAGAGTTATGTATTCAGTGCTTTAGAATTTCCTTGTTTCCTCTTTTATTAAATTATGGTTCCATATGATTGCTTATATACATTTTCCATTTTCAGATGATTATATTTGTCAAGTCTTTAGATGTAGCCTTATTTGGGTCATCTAGATGAGTAGGTCTTAGACTTTTAGATTTCCTAGATTAATACAATTTTCAATTAATTTTGAGCAATGTCTTAATTTTGCAAAATAAGATCATCAAGAGAGAAAAACCACTGTTGTCTACAATCATCATTTTAACACCAGAGAAGTCAAAAGAACATAATTTCCAGGTAAAACAGGCCCTCTTAAGAAAATGTAGACATGCATAATAGATCACTGTGTACTAGGTAATGCACCTAGCATTTGAATATGTTATCTAATTTAATTTTCCAAATACTCATTTTACATTTTCCAAATACTGTTATCCTCATTTTATAGGAGAAGTATCTGAGACTCAGTTATGTCAGGTAACTTGCCCAGAACAAGATGTCTGATTTCATGCCCATGCTCTTAACATAGCACAGGCACTTTTATAATGCAGAACAATTAACAACATGAAATGGTGATTTATAATTGCATATTTCTTGATTAAAATTTGTCACCATAGGTCTTTATTTGATAGTGCAGCACAGGCTCAAATAGCTTGTGTAGGTATTCCTTTTTTCTCACACATAGTTTCACACAGATTATGAATATTGCAGTTAAAGAAGCAACCTTCTTAATGTTCATTCATTTATTTTGGAATATTCTGGATAAACTGGTAAGAAAGAGCCTTTTGCCTTGAGGATGTTTTTGTGGTCTTTAACACCTTGTCCTGGTTAAGAATGCACAAAGTGGTGGTATTGTCTAGCCATCTAGGCTTATGGGGAGGGTGCACAAAGCACTTCGTGCTTGGCTTTCACTTTCACTCCTGTCCAGGAGGTAGGGTTTGGTGTTTAATCTAGGGACAATAATTGCCATAATCCTCATAAACCTGCACATACTCTTGTTGTCACTGTCAAGTTGCTTACTTTTTCCTAGGAATGGTAAGACACTGAGATTTTTGTGGTTAAAAAATTATACCTTTAATCTTTAGCTTGAATAATGCTTTTTTCACTTGCTAGCTATATACAAAAATTATTTAATCTCAAGCTGTGTCTCTTCATCTGTTAAAATTAATAAGATTTAATGTAGTATGTTTTTATGTGTCAACTCGAATGAGGCAATGTGAGAGAAAACAGTGTGAAAACTAGAAACTGATGGATACTTTATGTAACTGGAAGCCCATCAGGGTTTTTTAGACTAGAATAATGGCATGATACGATGTTGGATCTGAGTGGAAGTGGAGGGTGAGTGAGACTAGAGGAAGGCAGAATAGAAAGGGAGAAGATTGGCGACATTGGGAGTGGAGAGGAAATGTAATCAGTCATTTTGGAGGGGGAAAAATCAGTATTTCATGATGACTGATAAGAAAGAGGAGGAGAAGGAACCTCTTACCTCCCAGATTAATTCCCAATAAATATTTGTCTGTTATTTTCCCCATCCCCAGTCTGTCCTATATATTTGTAGTATACAGACACAGACCTGTAAGGACCTTTAGGAATTGATAGTCTTTGGGTCAGGATAGGGTGCTGCCTGCATTCATGTACTTGGAGAATTTGTGAGCAAGTGCTACTTTTGATATTAAGTCAACCTGTTTACTTGAAAACAAGTTAGATTTTCTGTCATGGATATGGGTACAAAATATTGCCAGATAATTTTTATGTGGTCTTCATGAAATTTGTTTATCAGATCACAGATATCTGATAGTACAGTTCCATCAGTGTTTAGAAAAATGACAATTTTAGGCATTTGGAAAGATTATATTTTCCTCCTACTAGTGTTAAGCATTGTGTTGAAACTTTTGGTTTTCAGATAATTTGCATTCAGCACTTACCTAGTGCTGTTTCTGGGAAAAATTTTTCAGAATTTTTTCTTAATCTTGCTTTTTATTGAAATGTAGTAGATTTACAATGTTAGTTTCAGGTGTACAGCAAAACGATTCAGTTATACATACACATATATATTTTTTCAGATTCTTTTCCATTGTATGTTACTGCAAGAAATTGAATATAGTTCCCTGTGCTATACAGTGGGTAAAAAAAATTTCTGAATCTTATGTACATAAATTTGAGTATTCATTACAGGCTTATCAGTTCTAGTTATTGTCATTGTTTAAATATAGACTTTAAATAAAATTTGGCTATAAACTGGGATAATGGATTTCTTTGTTTTATAGCAGTGGTTCTCAAACTTTAGGTTGCTTCAGAATCATCTGGAGAGCTTATTAAAACACAGGTTTCTGGATTGTTTCGGATTCAGTGGGTCTGAGTGGGGCTAAAGATGTTCATTTCCAGCAAGATGATGATGTCTGTGTTAAGAACTACCTATTATATGATAAGGAATAAGATTATCCTAGGAAACCACAGTTTAGCTTTTAAAAATACTTCTAAAAATAGATTGGTAAAAATTACACAGCATCTAGGAAATAAACTTAATTTTCATAAACATACAGCTCAAATCCAAATCCTCTTAGGGTGTAATAAATACAAAATTGTATTATAGCCTTTCATAAAAATTATTATTCTTATTTATTTAGTAATAGGATAAATTAGAAAAATATCTTTAAAATATATTTAAGATATTATAAATACTTTTCTCTATGCACAACAAATAGTTAAATATTTAGAGGTTTTAGAAAGCTGTTAAGTATGTAGTTCATTTACCCAGCACTTTTAATTGAAGTTAAAAATTGGACTTCAGTGCGGAGGGGTAGCTCAGTGGTAGAAGCACACACTTGGCATGCACAAGGTCCTGTGTTCAGTCCCCAGTACCTTCATGTGCATGTATTTGTATGTATGTGTTTGTGTGCGTGTGTATCTCAAATCAATTAACCATGGATGTATGTTTTTTAAAAAATCGGACTTCAATTTTTAAAAAAGAAAATACAATGAAAAACGAAAAACCCATTCATTGGAAGGTGGATGGATTTGTTTCCCACTGTCTTGTACTCTCCCCCTGTCAGCCCCATAATTCCTTGAATTTCAAAACCTGAAACTCTTGGAAGATCAAATGTGATAATATGGTTAATATAGTATGTCAACCCAAATTGGTTTTAATAATTGTTTTAAAATCTTGTATTTTTTAGCTAATGGGAATGACAACAAGAAATTTAAAGGAGATAGACCTCCCTGTTCACCTTCCCGTGTTCTCCATCTTCGCAAAATTCCAAGTGATGTTACTGAAGCAGAGGTCATATCATTAGGTCTACCATTTGGCAAAGTAACTAATCTTTTGATGTTGAAAGGAAAAAGCCAGGTATGTAATTTTTAAAGATTAATCCACAGTGATTATCTCTGGGTGTTAGTGTTAAAAGTGATTTTTATTTCCTTGAACTTTTCTGTATTTTCTAAATTTCATTCTATTTATATAAAGTGGTTTTTAAAATAGAATTTTTTTAATGACAAAAAACAACAGATTTTAATACAGAATTATCTCGTATTCATTGACTTGTTAACAAACATATTTTATATTGTTAGTTACAAAATCGTTAATGAAAATATCTTATGATTATAAGAAGACCCTGACAGAGAAGGGGAGGATATAAGCCATACCTCATTTGGCAAATTAAAGAACTTTTATGTTTTCTAAAATCTATTTTTAAATGTTTAGTATATTATAGTTGTAGAATTAATATGTAGCTTGGTTAATAATTTGGAAGAGTTTGTAAGAGGTTCTTCATTTCAGAATTTAATCAGTTTTTCTTAAGATGAATAAGGAAACTTGTGTTTGTGGTGACCATGACAAAAATATAATACTTGTCATTGGTTTGAATAATGGTGTGCTTTCTTGTTTCAATTCTGACCTCAGTGGGATGAATTCTTCAGTTCTTTCCTTGTTTTCGGTTGTCCTGAAAATTTTTACACTCAGCATTGCTGAAAAAAAGAGGACCACAAATCTGGCCTTAGACATTTTGCAGTACATTGTGTTAAGTCACTATGTTTCTTGTACTTTTCGTAAATAGGTTTAAGAAACATTATAGATGTATCGTGAAAGAGACTGGATGATGATGTCTGATTCAGACTCCTGTTTTTAGTAAACTACTTACTTAACACCCCGATTTAGTGCAGATGTGGTTATTAAGAACTGGAGAAGTTAAATGACATGTCCTAGTTATGTTTACACATTTATCTTAACATCTTTTGCAGATAGTACATGCACTTAGATCTTTATTTTGTCATAGTTGCCACTACTGAGAAGAGTATTGTTTACACAGTTTGAAAAGAGTCAGCATGGCCATGTCTAATGGCTGTGAAGTGTCTTAACAGTTACGTGTTATATACATTGTCATGTTTCATATAGTATATCCTATAAATTATGTCAGATAGCTCTGAGAGGCAGCAGAATGTCATAACTTTCCTTTGTCTCTTCTATTGGCTGTAGTTTATATTTATCTGTAGTGTTAATTGACTGTACTGTTAATTGCTTATCTTGATCATAAATCCTGTTTAGAAAACATCTTGTTAGTAATATACTTCAGCAAGAGATTCTGATGTGAGTCACTAGCAGTGCTTGTAGGCGTAATCTTTCCCATGGTTCTTGGAGGTGGTGTGAAGGCAGAGTAGGGGTTATTTTCATCAGCCTTTCTGTGGGTAGTGACTTGGTTTTCTCTCCACCTTACATTATAAAACTTGATCATTTGACTAGATACTTTGGCAAAACATAATTCTTTTACTGGACTCCATGTGAAAAAATATATTTTTCCATATGAATTTTTAGGTCATATATGTATTTAAGAAAAATTTCCTCTGACAAGGATCACGTATTCCAAAGACATTGTTTAACCTTTCCTCTGTGTGACTGATGTTAGACGTGGGAATTCTTAACACCTAGTAAAGAGTTTGTAGAAAGAGACTCTCCCCATACAGTGTATATTGTTAGAAGAGTTTGAAGTTTTTTTTGTTGAAAAGATGATTAAATCCAGATAGATAGGAAGTATTGCCACAGCTATTTTTATTAACCTTGATCATTTTTATCTACTTCTCAGAAAACTTAAGAAAAGTATACTACTGATACAATTGGATACCGGCTTTAAAGTGTGTCGTGGACAGTTACAACTTTTAGATACTGTAAATGTCTTGAAGTCTGTTTTATTCCTCAAAGACGGTGGAATTTCGTTTATTGTGGATCAGTTAATGATATGTGATCCACTGTATTGTGGCTAATATGACTACTTCATAGAATATTGTTAGTTAAAGCGTTTAATTGATTCAGTTGTGACATTTTATTGTTACAGTTAAGCATCATATTTAACATTTGTCAAGTTAATATTCCTTTACTGGAATATTTGCCAAATGGAAACACTTGACAAGTAAGGTAACTATAAACGAAGAAATAGTTTGATTTATAGCTATTTGCAATTTCCTCTGTTTAATAAATTTTGTTAGTAATAAATATATTTCATAAGTAAATTTTAAATGTTTTATACATAATGTGAAGTGGTTACTATATGCTTACTAGTTAAATGCTCTATTGTGGTAAAAAGAATTGAATTGTCTTCACTAGAAATTTGCATTGATTTGGATCTAGGGTTCTTTCTGCATTTTAAATTTGAGATATTCTTACAGATAGTTCTGAGTGCTCAGAACAGTTAGTATATGTTTGTACTTTATCTTCTAACCATTAAGATAGGGTGGTAAAACCTGCCACCTTAAAGCTCTGTAAGTATCCGATTCCAGTCTCAGAAGTTACAGGAGTCCTGACAGAATATAAAGAAGAAGACATAAATACCAAGGAGCTTCTTCCATCTCAGTTCTTGGGTTATTCTTCAGGTAGCTAAGATTAGTACAATGATTACAGGTATCCAAGAATGGTTACTTGAATTACTCAAATCAATATTGACTTAACGTAGGAAGTTCTTCCAGAGGCTTTACACATGAATGCTCTAATTATATTCATAAATAGCTGTTTCATAAAAAGGTAAAGGAGAGCAAATCAATATGCCTCATGTCTGAGAATTTTTTAGGAAGAAACTATTAAATCTCAACACCTGAAAGCATCCATTTACAGTAGTGATGTGTACATTTATTTTTGCCTTTTTAATTACTTACAGGTTTTAGGAGAAACAGAAATAAGAAGAAAACCAAAAACCGCGTAAAACCATTTAATCAACGGGCAATTTCCCAACCCAAAATCCTTTATTGAACCCAACTTTTTTCAAAAATACTTTCAATTAATATCAAAGATATACTTTGAAACTAAAGTCTTTTCATCCCTATGGGGGCAATATAATTTCTGTTGCGAATGCATGAGTTTAGAGCAAGCTAGAATGCAGAATAGTTTGCTGCCTTTCAAAAACAGGCGCTTTCACTTTACTTTCTTGTGTTTATTGCAGGCTTTCTTAGAAATGGCTTCTGAGGAAGCTGCTGTTACTATGGTGAATTATTACACTCCTGTTACTCCTCACCTTCGAAGTCAGCCTGTTTTTATTCAGTATTCCAATCACAGAGAACTTAAGACTGACAATCTACCTAATCAAGCTGTAAGTATTAAAGGTATTTTTGGAAACAGTTATGAGAACACATGGTATAATAAATTTAATTTTCTGTTTTTCTGAAGGGGGAAATCATACATTTTTCTTCATCTTAGGATACTCTATTAATAAAGATTGTGTATGTAAATTCTTACCCAAAGGCTTAAGAATAAGAAAGCTGTGCCATTTAGAAATATGTTTGAAAGTAATAGTGTTAGAAATGGCACGTATTTAGTATTCTATTCAAACTGTTTTCACAAGACTTACATTGTTAAATGTCTCCCTTCAAAATCTCAGATCTTAAAGGAATTATAGAAGTCAGTTTTTCTTTTTACAGAATATATAACAAAAGCATTAAGAAGTTGAGTGATGTTTCTATTGTGATGTTAAGTAACTGAACTTAAGATGTTAATAAGAGTTTGTGTAGATATGTTCATTAAATGATTTTTGACTCTCCAAGATGAATGTGGAACGTAAAATATGAACGTTTCTTACCTTATTTTCCAGTTTTTATTTTGATACAGCTCATATTAAAACTTTTGTGTCTTCCAGGTTGATTTTTAAAACAGTCACTTGAAATTACTATAGGGTAGGAAAAATTTGTCCGCAAAGCAAGTATATTTTAAGAAAGAGGTTTTTATTACGTTAAAGAGCATTTTTTGGCCCCTGTACTCTTGCTCTAGGCAAAAGAACTCCTTCAGCTCTTTGATTCAATGTTGAGAGTCATTGTAATGCAATCTGCTAAATTTAAATTATAGTTTTCCACATTTTTAAATACAGTGACATTTCCTGCAAATAATCTTTAACTTGTTTTAAGAGATTTTTATGGCATATAATAAAGTATGTAAACCTAAGAGTAAATAAAATATTAGATACTTTAAAATAGAATAAAACTTTCTAAGTGAAAAATTGCCTTCTGAATTATAAATAGGATACATGCTAATGGTAAAACATTTAAACATTCCAGAAAAAAAAAATCCGGTTACCCAGATATAACTAATTAACTAACATTTTGCTAACATTTTAGTGTGTACCCTTTTCCATTCAGGTGTTATTATTATCTATGTATATAATTTTATACCGATGGAATCCTAATGTTTTGAAAGCTGTTATCTTTTATCTACAGTATGTTATGGATGTTTCATGACAGCAATTTAGAATTACTTTATAATTTTTTAATGATTAAGTAATATTCCCTTAAGAAGGTCAGCCATAATTGTCATGGGATCCAGTGGGCTGGTGCATGGGTGGTAAAAGAATTTACCAGAGATCAAGGAGTTTAATAGGTAAGCCCCCATAGACAACAGTGGGCCACAGAGGTGCCTATGTGAGCCCTAAGGGTTGGTTGCTGAGGTCTTTTATTAGGGAGGGTTGCATCAGGTACCGAGAGGTCACAAGGTGTATGATTGCCTTGTGCACAAATTTTGTTTTGTTTTGTTTTTGTGCACGTTTTTGATTGGTTGGAGGTGAAGTAAGAAGTGTAGGACAGTGGGATTTATGACTCTGTTAAGGTGAAGACGTGGGCTGAAACAAACCAGCCTGAGCTATTGTGAGATTAGGCATTACCTAGGGGTATTAGTTTGTTAGGGCAAACACTCCCAGTAAAGAATGTACTTTATCTTTTGAGGGATTGCAGGCAGACATCTGAGAGCCCAGAAGTGGGGGTCATTGGACTTTGAAGGACACCAGTTGGCCCCACAATAATTTATCCAGTTTCTTGTTAATAGATATTCAGATGGTTTGCAATTTTATGCTTTTACAGACAGTACTATAGAAGCATTCTTATATATCTCGGCACACTTGCAGCATTGTCTTATTAATTTATGTTTATGACAACAAAATTACTAGGACTAAGAACATACATGTTTTGTGTTTTGATATATGTTGCATGATTGCTTTCTGTAAAGACTATTTGCTGATTCAAGGTGCCACTGGTAACATATGAGCAAGCAGTTTTCCTGTTCATTTTTGTTAATATAATAGATGACAGATTATATCTTATTGTTTACTTACTTTTATTTAATAACTTGTGAAGTATTTATACTAATTTCTGTTAATACAGTTTTTCCCCCATTTTTAAAGTTGTGGTAAATATGTATATATAACATAAAACTTACCATTTTAACTGTTTTCTTAACACCTTTATTATGGTGTGGTTCCTGTACAATAAGCTATGCATATTTCAGATATACAATTTGATGAATTTTGGTAGATATATGCACCAGTGAAACCACCAGCACAATCAAGATAGCTAACATTTCCATCACTCCCCAGGAGGTGCCGTTTTCAAATGCCAAGTTTATTTTTTCCTACTCCCTTTACCCCCTGGTAACCATAAGTTTGTTTTCTATGTCTGTGAGTCTGTTTTGTAGATAAGTCCATTTGTGTCCTTTTTGTTAGATTCTACATATAAGCAATATCATATGGCATTTTTCTTTCTCTTTGTGGATTATTTTGCTTAGAATGATGATCTCCAAGCCCATCCATGTTGCTCCAAATGGCATTAGTTTATTCTTTTTTATTGGCTGAGTAGTATTCCTTGTGTGTGTGTGTGTGTGTGTGTGTGTGTGTGTGTGTGTGTGTGTTTACTCTTCCTTTACCTTAC